AAAACGCAAGTCAGCGGAAGTCGTAATGGACTTTTTGTTTCACTACTGTGTGCAGCAGTGAGGATAAACATGAAAATCAGGCACTGTTCATGAGAGTTAACCGAAAATCGAAACTCAAATTGATATTGCCTTCATCGGTGAAAATGGAGTTGTCAACCGTCAACGTAAGCTGGTGGTGGTGATGTTGGTGGGGTTAGACGCACCTACCGTGCAACTGAACCTATCGTTGTTTTTAAAACCGTCCGATTTTTAACATCCTCGGTGCAAGAACTGTTGTCTTCCCCGCACATACACCAAATCTAATCGTACCTATCAATTCAAATGTGGATACTCGACCATCCACGTTGGCAGGACGGAGAGACAACTGTCATCGAGTAATGAAGCACATCCCGGTCGGGTTTCGATAAACAATAAATGAAAAATTTGGAAGTATGACGCCACCGGTGACGATGCATTGCAAAAAGCTAAGGGACGCATATAGAATCCTCTGCAACGCAAACACCAAAATTCTCAAATACGTTAAGACATTGACCATTCAAAATTGCCATCACTAAATAAGTGAGTGATGAGTGATGTTGGTCACAATCTGTATTTTCTGACCATATATTGATGACCGCATCAACTGCATTATGCACGTGTACAGGTGCCGCGAAACGATTCACGATACATTGTGCAAACCTGTGTTTTGAGCCTAACTAATCCATATTAATGCTATCAAGCGGTAGATTGTAAAAACCTTCCAAATAAAACGGAACGTAGATACACCTTCATAAGCATCATGAACGATTAGGAAAAATGGCATTAAGAACAGTATATTAAAAAGATGTTGAATGACCATTCCAACTTACGTGCATTCCGAATAGCTGGCTAGCACTTCAATCAATCGAGCTTGGATTTCGTTTTGAAGCACTTCGCGTGGGTTGATCACCTGATCATAAATGATAAGTTCACGATAATGATTCACCGCTTGACACAGCTGGCTCAGACTAAATAAGGTACGATCATTGATGGTTTGTTCCTCCCGATTTCGTCGAAAACTTTCCATTCCGGGGACAAATCGCGTGTCGTTCCCGTGTGCAGCACCAGTTTTCCCAGACCCCGGTAACGATTTGGTTTTTGTCACCTCGGTTGACCCGGTCCCGTTCATAATTGGCCGGGAAGCGGAACTTGTTTTCTTACCCTTTCTCTTAGCTGGTCGTTCCTCGGATAACCAGGGGACTGCGGTTTGCGGAGCCAATTGATCAGCTAAATTTCCAAACTCGTCCACACGAGTCAGAAAGTCTGCACAGACGCGATCGGCTATTTTTTGGCAGAAATGATGAGCAATTCGAATAGAGGAACGACCGAGAAATGCACGTTCTTCTGGGCAAAGATCATGGCACGCCTGAATGGCATGGCAACAAATACTGGGAAACACTATGGTAAAGCGCAACTGGGCAGGACACATGAGACAGTGCGCAAACAGATCGGCAAATTGCGTTGGATAGAAAGTGAATATGGACATGTCCGAGACAAGACGGAGTAACTCGTCCAAATAATCCACCAGTTTTGTATGAAATATTGTAGAATGCAAATGTTCCACTAAACGACGATGATCAGCTAGCATTATTGGTGATGTTTTACACGACATGCTAGTTTGCAGACGTAACCAATCCAAACGGATTCCAGAAAAATCAAACATGGCAAATTGTTCACATGAGTTTTGAGTGGTATCTTGTAGAACTTGTTCTTCAGAGAGATCTAAAAGTTGTTTTGAAATGCTAGATAGAATGATAGCTTCGTCACCGGGGAGACGCGGTAAAATTTCACCCACATATTCACTTAGTCCGGGAGCATCGTAACAAGCCAGTAGTTGCACATAGAACCGCTGAATTACTGGCGTGTAACGAACGATTAGTAGTCGCAATTCTTCCATGTAAAACAGCAACTCCGGAAGAAACGGATCACCAAACTCTTCTGTAGGATTCTGGTGGGATCTAGAGGAACCTGCACCGGATTTTTTGACTGGCGGGTTGGATAGATGCCTAAGCAACCAATGAACTTCGTCTGTTGCATAAGACAACCCCCAAAATACAAGGAATGCCTTTGGGCCTAGAAGACCGGGCTCGTCGGCTAGAATGAGATGAAGCTGGCGTAATGCAGAACGAAGGTAGGTACGCCGATCCGCATGAACTTCAAGTGTCTGTGAACATGCAATGGACAAGGTTTCTCTGATTTCGTTGATTCGTTTGGTTCCCACCTTATTCGTCCACACAGATTCCAAGAAGGACTGGAGCAATGCGTGGATATAGACCACTTCATCACGGAAAAGTACAACGACATAAGTATGCTTCAGCGCAGTTTTGAGTCGATTAAAAGCATCTTCATCGCTCAGCTCTGGGTAGATGAGTAAATAACCAAAAACCACCCAACGCTCCATCATTTCGTATGGGATGAGTTCACAGGCTAGTTGATCACCGAGTACGGTATGTGCGATTTTACTGGGCTCATTCAGAATGTTCAAAAAATGTCCATCACTCCAATTTTGGGCTCGTACCGTTCGTCGAACAAAGAAATCACTCAGTGAGCTTAAAGCGCGAGAAATGGTTTTTGCGTGAGGGTTTATCTCTGCATGGAGTGTTTTCAGCATTGCATCGGGTGTTTCGGTGAAAAGCTCCGCCATACGAGGATAATTGGGCTCGGGTTTTCCATTCAGTTGGTCGTAGAGAAAGTTGAACAACGCAAGAATGGCTTTCACATCCGGGATGCGTGTCAGAAAAAACATCATGGCAAAATAATTGCTCACTAGCTCTAAATATAATCGCGTAATATCTGAATTCACTGTGATATCCAACTGAATCTGAGATGCGCTAAACCGGCCCAACAGATCACTGAAGTTATCACGCACTTCCAAAACATCAGCAAGGTTGTAATAGTATGTAGACATAACTCCAAACAGTTGTTTTTGATGGGTAATAAACGGTTGTATACTAGACTGTCCACTGCGAAATTCAATAGAGGGAAACTTTTTGAGCAAAGCTTTCCAAGCCGGTTCGAATACCTTGTCACCGCCAGGCATAACGGTAGGGCGATAGTCCGGAGAAGATAGAAGTTGTTTCATATGATGGAGTCGTGTTAGCACCCCCAGTTGTCGATCGTTCAAAATGAACAATCGCTCTGCCAGCTTTTGGTGGCTCATTGGAGTGGCCATGATAAGGCTAAAATAAGATTAATACTTTGATTAATGGCTAACTCCAAAAGCAACGATGAATTTCAGCGGGATAGAAATGCTTCAATGCAGGTCGTAATTTTTGGCTTCGGTCTTATATTAGAAATGGAACACATAAAAATCATAATTTTAGTAGCAATCGCAAAAGTAAAACCAGTCAGGAATAGGTGTAAAAAGATGACATATATAGTGAAGCACATTAGGCAAGAGGAAAATTTATGAATGAAGAGTAAACGCAACCGCAACAAGACGGATAATACTGCTTGGACATAAGAATCGGGGAGTTATCTTTGAATCACGGGTGGCGAATCAGTTAAAACAAACTTTGCTCATTAGTTATTTCACAATGCATGGGCAGGAAACGGGATCGAGCCAGTTTTCAGGAAGAAAAACAAAACAAACCACTGAGATTAAAAAACAAGGTACAGATTAACAGTGCGTGTATACTCCTTTAAGCCGTTAGAATTTTTATGAAGTGAGAACAAGAATTCCACTGACTTCAATTTACTGATATTTCTCCGTTTCAAATCACCTAGTTGTAGAGTATTCGAGAACCCAACTAAGAGGATGAAGACTATTTTGTTAATCTCTTTGTCTACCTCAACGCTCATTATAAACAGTTTCGGTTTCTATTTTTGCAACCAGTAACCACACACTTTCATGAGCCGGTTTTGTTTGCTGTCTTTTGACTACCCAATGAGATAAAATAGCAGAAGGAAGAATAGAACGTTGAGAGCAGTGCCTAACGAAAGACAGAGAATTCACATAGATTGAGGTTGCAAGGACAGTGGTTAGATGCGCGCAAGTCAATGTTTGGCCCAAGCAACACACGTCCCAACCAGAGTAGTCTATGGAAGTCGACCACCTGCTCCAGTGGACGACCGCAATTACCAAAAACTTTGCGTCTAACCTCGGTATTACTTGTCCGGTTTCTCCACCAGACTCGTGCAATGTGGCGTAGACAGCGGTGCTTCAATATTGACAGTATATTTTTATCCTGTCCCCGTAGTGGCCAAGTCTCTGTACGTAAAGCAGCACTGGTCCAACTGCTGCAGCATACACTGGACACTTAACAGACAGCCGGATGCAATGGCAAGTACTCCATGGATTACGATTCTTTCAGTTTATTAACAGTGACACCGGGAAACGAACCTGGATGACGAAAAAGTTGTCAAAATAGTATGGGCCAGATTTTGGTATGGCTACTTTTGAACTTCTTCCATTCACTATTTAGTTCGGCAAACATTGAAAGTCAATGTTACCCCATCCGGACACCTGAGTAGAACATGCCCCAGCGAGCGCTTTTATTTATTCATTTTCATTACGTAACCATGTCTAACTCTCTTTCCACCATTGCTAATCGGTTTCCATTACGTAACTGTTTTCTATGCTAACATTCCCCA